ATTTTTATTTAACATAACTAACGAACTGACTGCGAAGCACTAAGTAAAGGGTCCTTTTTATCCATTCAACAATTAATATAATGTTGGTAATATTTCCATTTGAATTTCAACTCTAGATGCATATTTGTATTGACATTAGTATCAATGTAGACACCCTCTAAATTATTTTTTTTGATTTACAGCTAGATTCCACACTGTATTTTTTGGTACAAGTATGGAATTTTCAGCATGGATATCGGTAGCCCAAATTTTTGCAGGCCGACCATAGATATCAGGTGTGCGTCGGCGGAGGCTCGAACCTCGGGCAATGTGCATGGTCGGCGAGAGTCCTAACCACTGTGCCACCGACTCCCAAACAAGGACGAAACATCCAACCAGTACTCCCAAGTTTTCCAATGGTCCTCTAACTAATGTCAGCTCATGATTAAATCCTGTAACCAAATCAAATCCCTACAAACCAACACTAGGGTAATTTCTGTTGCATCCTACCCACAGTTTGCCCACGTCGCTGCCGATGAAAATTATCCAGTTGTCCCACGTTTTGGCCCTCCTTTTTCCATGCGCATTATTTGACTGGGATTGCATTATATGCTGTAAATTATATTTTGTTTACCAAAAGTACTGTTGGGAATATAGTTATTACTGCTACTTTTGAAAATATGGGTACTGGGTGTCTGTGGATTGGTTGTTCTTAGATTGATTAACTGACATAAAGGGGATAGTGACACAGTTTGAATTCTGACTGTTAGTCAACTGAGCCAATCTTTGTAGTGATAATACAAAAGATTCTCCCAACCACGTTACACTTGTTCTTCCGTGTTGTATTAATCATATTTATTCACTGGAATTGTTTTTCCTTAATGGTTAGTCATCATGCGCGATACATATAAATGTTTAGCGCAAAATGTACGTATTAATGCCTAACAGTTTTAGTTATTTATGTGTTATTAACACTATCATTCAAAATCTGTCTACTTTAAACATAAGAAAAACACGAAAATGCAGTGGAAACTGCAATTCCAATTAATTCTTCCCTGGAATGTTACGTTTAATCCTTAAGCGTCATTTGTACTTAAGAAATAAAATTTACTTTGATTGAACACTAGCCGGCGACCAGTGTAATGTGTGTGTCTAGGGCTTTCTTTGATGCGGACTGAATTATATAAGTACAGTTTACAATGTGGCCGCCATGCCAATAGGTGGCTCGCCATCACGGTGTATTGTTAGTATTTTTGGTATCTGCAACCTTGAAGGTCACACATACGCCTTTCTGATGAGTGCTAACTAACACAAAACCTAGGTCCAAGGCTTCCTGTCGATTGCCTTCAACTGTTTAATAACAACAATTCAAAGTGCACTTGATGGTGAGCTACCTATCAGGTTGGCCACGTTGTAAAGCTGACTGATAGAATCCAATCTGCACCAAAGACAGGACTTGACGCACACATTACACTAGTTACTGACTAGTGTTCAATCGAAAATATCTAATAGAGTTGAACAGCAAATCAATCACAAGGCCGAGTGGCACAGTGACAATGTCTCTGACAGCAGAATTGTGTGACGCGAGTTCTATTCTTAGGATCAACATGAATCCCTTGAAGGTTGTAGATATTCTAAATAGATTTCATTATATAATTTCCAGCAAAACTGGCACTAGTTGAAGTTGTTGACTTCTTAAAAGTACGCACAAAGAAAATATCAGATTCACATAGGTCAGCGTACGTCATAATCCGAGTTCAACAACATAACTGTGGGAGCAGTTACATTTGGAAGAATAGAAAGAAGAGCACACCTCCGATTCCCTGAACATACATCAAAAAGTTTATGTCTAAACGAAACAAATGTTTTAAACGGTGCTACCGCCAGGCATCTCCTTGACACGGTTCATCAGATGGACATCGCAAGATTGTTCAAAATTCTCAATAGGCAAAAGAGTTCAATTCTCCTAAAGGTTGGCGAAGTTATCTTCATCAAGCACCTGAAACCTGATTTATGCGTTCAGAAAGAAGCAGTTATCAGTCTTTTTTTTGCCCTACCTAGTAATTGGATATTTTCGCCCTCTCTTTCATCTGATAATGTAACGTCGGAAGTTTCCATTGTGTATGACCATTATTGTTCGGAGTATTGTTAAGTATTATTATATACATATATTATTACTGTATGCATTTTCCGATGGACTGATTTTTGTTTAGAAATGAACTTAATGCAAGTATGTTAAAATTGTTTCTGTAGGTATGACTTAATAATGACTCTGGCCTGTGAGCAACTGATGAGAAACCAACGAAATAAATGATGGTGCTATTTGATTCAGTAAAAAACTGTTTTTCTTACTTAATTCAAAAACATTGAAATGTCTGGAAAACGAGAATATTATCCTCTTCACTGTAATTTAAATTTTTTCCTTAATGGATCCTATGCTTCAGTAGCCAGTGAAATCTTAATTATCCTAAAGGATTTGAAAACAGATCCTTCATTTACGTTTCTTTTGCTAAGGCCTACAAAAAGGTAAACAAAGTTGGCTAAGGCAAAGATTTATTAGACAGTTCACAACTAATTGGAGCTGGATACGATGAGTGTGTCTGTCAATCTGTATAAACATGTCGAAAAAAATATCCCGCAGTGACAAGCTTATTGCGTAACGTATATTTTTTTCTCAAGTCGGTTGAAAGGAATTCGTAATAACACCGGGGAAACATTCTTTCCTCATATTTCGTAGTCTAAATTCAGACAAAAACTATCTTTCGCCGTGAAATAACGTCAACAATTATCCAGTCAATCGTATTTTGTTCATATTTGTAATTTCCCGTTAATATGTCTGAAATGAATTAATCCGGATCATTTCAATAATTGAAAGAGGCCTTCATGAACGGATACCTCGATATTTTCAAGATTAATAGCTGGAAGGTGTTGTTTGCGACTTCATTTCAGATATATCGAATGACAATATACATGAGACACGGATAAAGAATTTATAATAACACCTGTGGGACAAGAACTGGCTCCCGTAACCAAGTTGTTAAGAGGATAACGCTCTGGTGTTCGAGTCTCAATGGAAATACAATTTCTACTGGTGGCGCAGGTACACTGAGTTGAAGAATTTCAGAAATAGGAGAAACGCAAGTCTTAAGATCCTACTACCCCTTCTCACCAAAGAATTAACTCCCTCTCATTCGAGAATTTGGAGAAAAAATGGTATATTTCACGTCTGTTAGTCTATTAGAAATCTTCGGTGTAAAAGTGAAAAGATGTGGAATTTTCCGTGAATTTGAAAAGATATCACATGCTACAGTACAATACATCATTATATACTTGTCTTCATGGGTTTCCAATGGAACGTAGGGTTTTGACAGCAATCGACTATTTCACTTTCTTCCTTGCAGTGCTTTTCTGATGGCTCTGTGATCGCCAATTATCTTTCATCACATTTTTTACACATGATCTCCATGTCACCCTCAGTCTCAAGCTCAACTTGTCGCCTCTTATTCAGATTCCACTTGAGGTCCTGACTAGCCTGTGATATCAGTCAACAGTCTCCTCAGTGAACGGCAAATCCACCTTCATTAGCTTCTGTCCATTTTTGTAGGAATTGAGGTTTTGGTTGGCTTACTGCAATAGTTTTGTTGTTGCTAATCCTTTCTGTACATCTGAATCAGTGAATGCAGCTGTCTGTGACAATTTGAAGCCTGTTAGAAATGCTTTTGGTGACTTAGCAAGTCATTGAATCATCAACAAACTATCGATAGAACTTTATACTAACTGCACTCTGTTGAATGTCCAACTTGTTTTTTTTGACCCTGGGTTTGGCTATGTAAACTGAGTAAAACAGTGTTCAACTGCTAGTAACAAAAGATGTTGACGGTAATGTGTCTTCATGAGGAAAAATTGAAAGAAGTATGGCCTTACAGTGATGCCATGAATATTTTGGGCAAAGCAAATAGAGAATATTTTTAATATTTTTCCTGCACTTTGGAGCAGTAGACTGGAATATTTTCCAGACATGACCAATTAGAAGACGCTAAACAATCTGAATTTCTCAGACGATTTATCTCTAATGTAACACAAGCTCGAAAACTTACAATCAAATATTAACACGTTGGCAACAGCAAGGCAGCGAAGATAGAGCTTCTAACGAACTTAGAGAGGATTGAGATGATGAGGATACTCAACGACGAAGCAGATTAAAAACCAATCACCATCAACCGGAGAAATTTGAAGGAAGTCACTTCCTTCAATTATCTAGGCGACAGTATGGCTGAAGATTTCAAAGCCAGAATCGGAAAGGCAAGGCAGACCTTCATCACCATCCAGTCACCTCAGAAATTTTCTGCACTTAGCATACAAAACAAGATTCGGATCTCCAACACAGATATTAAGTCAGTCAGTGCTTCTATATAGGTCATAAACTTGTACAGCGTGTGTTTCACGAGAAGCATTTCCAACAGGCTACCACAGAGTTTCTTCAACATCTGCCTTCACTAGGTCCTTATTAAAGACTAAATAGCCAGGCAGGAGGAATTATCAACAAGAAACTCTGGGGAAAAACCAACAAAGAACCCGTTGCTCAAAAATACGCAAGGGAAAGGGACAGTGGATTAAGCATACGCTGAGTGGATCGTCGAATGACATCATATGGAATACATGTTATCGCTCGATTGGAACCCGAATAGGAAATGGCTAGTACTTCGTGTGTCCGGGGGTAACATGGAGGGCAATGTGGCCAGTAGAAAAAGACCTCAGAGAATAGGAAAAATTGGAGATGTGCTGTTAAAGCCCTGTGTTCAACTTAGAACCCAATGAAACGATTATCACATTATTATAATACATATAGAATAGTGAGTGAAAACCGCAATGTAAAAACAAAAACTCAGTCTAAAGAGACCCCAAGAGTTCCCCGTTTTCATTGGTTCTCATTCTGACACCAATTTATCAATATTACAATAATATATATATATATTTATTACGAATAATAATGATTAGAATACAATATAATTTTGACTTACTTTTCTTGTAGTGATTTTGTCCAGTTTTCAACAGGTACATTCAAACCAGAAGAAAGTTTAACTGCAGGTAAATTAGGCATTTCGATGGCATGCACAAAAATAACTTGATCACCAGGTCGATAAACTTCTGTAATATACCATTGTACTGCTCGAAGTGAATGGTCACTACCATCCACTGGAAGGCATACAATTCTCTTTGCTTTGCTCATAATCTTCTGTTGTTTATTGTTTTTTTGTTTGTCAAATTCAATGTTATTTACAAAGTATAGTGAATTGTTTGATTAATTTAAAACAATATTCGTCAAAAGTGTATCAGTAATGTAATGAAATCAGTAAAGTGTCAGAATATTTTGGAAGTTAGTTGATCAACTGTACGAATTATTTTTTATACTTAGATTTTACTGGCTTATAATTGTCTTCATTTTGATTGGTTGTTGCAACTATTCACAATTCTATTGGATCAATGAAGGAAGGTCACATGACGCGGTTGTTTGGATAATGCGCACAAGCTAACTAACTGCTTAAAGTTCTAAAAACAGACTACTATTCCTTACTTGCATTGCCACATTATCTGTCAAGCTTGTGTTTAAGAAAGTGCCAAGAAAAAAGGTTTGTAAAACAAACCATCTTAATCATCTTTTGAGGCTAAATATTTTCCTTTCTTACACAGACTAATCTTGATATTTCTATTGTGGCTATCACGGAGAAAATCACATGACTGCCGAAAATATCACTTCTGATCAAAAATGAAACGTGAATAATGATATTAACTTGTCATGTTACTTTCTCTTTGCGTGTCAAAAATAAGATGATATTGTAGCGAGTGCTACTGATAGGATATATCAGTAATATATAAAAACATCAAATAACAAGGAGATGCATTTGATGTCAGAGAAGGCAAATGATACAGCGTGGTGGACATACATGAGAGACGCTAAAGGAACGGTCAGAATTAGCACAACAAGGAGATCTGTGCAGATCCTGCGATGAAAATTAAACGTACATAATTTGGCTATATAGAGATACTCGATCCTGTCTCACTTGATCGATACTGGACATCGCATCGATGTCAACACAGCTTTCAGGATTATATACCAAATTCCTAAGTCGCTATCACGTACAATTCGCTTACGTCTCCTACACATAGCTGAAGCTATAGCAATAAGATTGACTAAACCGGAACTTTGTGTCCAAAAAGAACACGTTCAAACGCTGTTCCTACCATTGCAAAACTTGGATTAATGACTCTTCTTCTCACCAAGAGTGCTACTTCCCCTTAACCCTCTTAGTTTTTTTTCTTTCTTTGCTTATTATTACAGTTATTATTGTTATTACTATTCATTATAATTTATGCCCTTCATGCAAACATTCTCTCAGTAATATCGAATTTTCCACTTATACTGTCCGGACTTATTATTAGTGATATCGTCTCTGTCCTTAATACATGTCTCCACCTGTTTCATTTCCCACATTGGTTATTTCATGATGAACTTCCTATTGCAGTCTTATTATCTCCTGTTTAATACATACCACTTTGTACTACCAACTCACCTACCTGACACCTTTTGTAACCATGGTCTGACTTATCAATAATCCTACTCCACATTTTACGGAACTATTTGGCGATTTATCACCATCACCATTGTCTCCCATTTCACCGAAATATTTTGTAATCGATTTCAGCCAGCACGTTTGGCACACGAATATGGCTATTTATTCTACGTAAAAAATGTTTAAAACAATTAGTTCCCTTTATGAATTTAGATAAAGCAATAAGAAGGCGTAATTTGTCTGAATCGTGTTATGCATTTGCGCAACACATTTCGAGAAATTTGATCACACACGGACTCGTCATAGGAATATATATATATATATACATGAAATTAATGAAGAGTTAAGTGGTGAGAAAGTAGACTTAGGTCAAGTTGAGAGGACATATTGAAGGACATAGACCACTAAACCAATTAGCAGAGGTGATAGTACATCTACTATGGTATCAAAACAAAATTTATCAAGAAAGGTTTTATATGATGATGAATTGTTGCTTTGAACGCATAAATGTGGTTTAAACTTTCTAATTGCCAGATAAGGCTTCCACAAACTTTAGGATACGCTCCAAACACGTTTTGTAGATAGGTTTAAAAGATCTGTTAACGTCAATTTTATCTTCTGTCTCTATAATATGTTTCGTAACTGAGGAGCTAGGTCACCTGTTTTCACCATTACTGGGTCCTGAAGATTTCATTTGTTTCTGGAGCCTGATTGTTCCAAATGTGCTGCGCAATTACATTACACGATTCAGGTAAGTTAAAAAAAAATGTTTCCACCACATAACTGGCTATCATTATTGTAACGACAACAAATATTATATTTTACAATCATAAGAACCTGAAGATGGAGAACTTACTGAAAAGACTACTCTTCGCTCAGATTAGCCTTTAATTCAAGCGTAATTTTTAATAAACAATATCAAAAGATTCCAACCACTTATATTTTAAATTTTATATTTAAAAATAGTCGCATAAAATGTTGTTACCCATTTAAAAGAAAGCAGAAGTCATAAAACTGAGTAAAGAAGGGTGTGTCTTGCAAAGGAGAGGAAATATCACTTTCACAAGTTGTTACAAATCATAAATTAATCAAATAAAGTATTACATATTAAAAAGCATAGAAGTGAAAATCTGTAGGATAATTCATCCATTAAAAGTATGTTAGTATGTTGTATACTCTGTTTGAATCCATTTACAATTAGGACATTTCGCATTGTGGATATTTTCATCATATTTTTGTCCTCTTGGTATGTTCCACTTTAACGTGTCCTTCCTGAGGATACCGCTATTGATGAAAACTTTATCTTGGAAGGCTGAAAAACTACACGAACACGGCATTTAGTAATTTTTCAGCTGTGAAACATTGAATTGTAGTTTGTTCAGCATGCTATCTTGCTCATGCGGAGCTGAGTTCATTGTCTTTATCATATATCCACTTGTAAGACGCTCTCGAGAACACTATCCGGCCTGGCCACCAACAAAGGGAGAAAGCAGGTGTGTTTATTATTCCGTAATAGAACATCTGATGAATTCAACTACATTTGAAAAACCAATTTCACAGTCATATACGATATCCTAACAAACCTCTTAAAAGGAGTGGAATCTAGGCATCTGCGAAAGCTGAGTCACTAGCGATCGCAAAAATTCAAGCCCACACACACGCACACCATGAGTTCAAAATAAATACTTTCAACCGTCTTCCCTACAGTGGTCATCAGCATCCCAATAATATTCATCCTATTACCTTCCTTATTCAGTTTTCCATTTTTATTTCTGTTATTTTCACGTGTTTTTTTTAAATTCCTACTTGCGTTAATGTTTTTTAATCACAACTTACTGTCCACTTTGTTTTTGCTACGTTTCTTACTCTCTAATTACACAAAAAAGTCCATTTTCTCAGTAATTATGATCCAACTATGTTTTTTGTTTGAACTTCCTGATTATTAAACTATGTGATTTTATCGATTTGATCCTTGAAAGCATAAGTAGTTCTGAAACTTTGTCACTCATTTACTATAAATACACGAATGTACAACCTAGTTGATGATTTTGTCGAAAAAGAGATTTTCTCCCCTTTGACTATGTTCTTTTGATATTTCTTATGATGTCATCTGTATATTCCGTGAATAGCTGAAGTTCTAAAATTCATATTTCATCCAACGTATGAAAGACCTGGCACGAAATTCCCCACTTGAAATGTTCTAGATTCCATTTCTGTTCTCAAAGAAAACGTCTACTGCCAACGCTATCATCAAAGTAATTTTTGATGCCGTGACGGCTGTTAAGGAGCATACGATTCATGATAAAACAGTGTTCAGGTGGAATATATCCTATTTGGTGTCAAACAATTATATTGGAATGGAATTTCTACTTTCCGTTTAACTATTCAACTATCATATAGGGTCATCTTTTCGAAGATGCGATAGTGCTGCAAAACTAATCAGCGTCCCCGTCTGATTTCAGGTAATTCATAAAATCACCATTGGGATTTATGAAGTTACTTTACCTCTGATTAAATAGTAGACAGACAGGTTGTAGCACGGACAAAAATGTGCTTATTTGAAATTCTCCAATTTACAATATGTTGTGTGACATTTAATGGAGCATAGGGCATTAACAGCATGCCTCTGTTTTGTTCTATTTTATGCTGTACTCTCTAGCTATTCCCAGGATTGGTTATAATCCTTCATCTCCCTCAAACTCAAATGATATCATCCATGTCACCCTTGAACACACGATCACTTCATCGTTCCTCAACTGAGTTTGACCCCAGCGATGGCCTGCACTGGGCGCGATGCCATTCTACAGTCTCTTCAGTGTGTCCCCGATGCACGTCCAATTTCATTTGCATATTTTTTGAAACACCTGGCTCTTGGCTGTTTCATTCCAAGAATTTACTGTTTCTAATTCCTTCTTAATGCTTACTTGAGGCAGCGAAGGTGGTCTTTGATAAAAGACTTCAACAGCTTATTAAGGATGCTTTTTGTGCTGCGTAGTGCAAGTCTGCTATCCATGTGGAAGAAACGACTGACTTGAAAATCCGAATTTGCCCCGAATTCAAAAAACTCCCAAACTGATTTCGGAGTGATGAACACGTACCTTGCCCTTCCGACTATGGCTATTATACCTTCATTCGTGTCGTTCCCCGTAGCTGAGACAATGCTTCCCAGGTAATTGAAGGAAGTGACCTCTTTTAAATTTCTTGAGTTGATAGGGATTGGCACTAGTTATCGTTATTGTTGATTGGTTATCAGAATCAACTTCATCTTCTCTATGTTCATTTAAAGTTCTGTCTTTGCAACCTCTTCCACTTATTTATTGGTTTTTGTCTGCTGGTCTTCGATTGGGTGAGACATAAGGCATAAATCATCCACGAAGTTCAAATGTTCTACAGTATTCCAACTTGTCCGTTGTATTCCTATCTTTTTGCTCGGATGTACAGTCTTCCACAAAATCTGTTTTCATTTAGAAGGCTTCGTTGAATTTTCCGTTGTGGACTACCTGATATGTCGAGTTGTCATCTAACAGCTGAATGACGCCCATAAAGATTTTGGGCGTTTCTGAAGTCGCTTGAAAATCCACATTAAGACATATAAAAAGAAAGGCATTCAGCAGCACATAGAGCTGCAATTTTAATCAGCAAATGAACTGATTTCCCTGAACGAGCTTAGATATAATAGAAAACATTTGAGCTCAGGTGGATGCTTTAGATGTGGTTTTATTTTCTGAGCTGGATGGTTAATTTGCGAAGCTTTCATCACCATACTGGGTGACATCTTCAGCGCATACTTCAATTTGAAGTGAGCTTTTAGATTTTCCCAACGAGTTTATTAATCATCTCCCCTGGTGACTGTACCTTGGACGTGATTAGTTGTTTGTGTGTGTTTTCACAACTTCTAGGTCACTTGTATTGGAACTGATTGTTTCTTTGACTTGGACTTTGACCCTTTGTGTGTGAAGTTTCTTTCTTATCGGTTGATAAATTTTGTCTATCTCGATGTGTATATTGATTGATGATTCACTGGAATGCCAAGCT